GATTTTCTGTCGGTCATTCTCTAGAGTTTTTCAAAATTTTCAGGAGACAGGGTCCTGGTCAAACCATGCCGGAGCTTTGACTTAATATCTATAAACTTAAACAACTTACAACGTTCGGTATTATATGCATCACTCAGTTTCTGCATAGACGCCTGGTGGAGATGCTCATTAACCTTATCCGAGTGGTAGGGTCTGTTAAGGTCACAGAACTTAGGAGTGATACCATGACGTTTACAACAGTTTAAAAAAGTAGTATGGGAAGATTGACTCACAATTTTCTTCTTTGTCCGGCTGTATTCAGTGCATTGTTTGGCAATTTTGCCACCGTAGTTAAATTGAAGATATGAAGAACAAGATGTTGTAGCCTCTGGTATGGTCGCAGTTGTCAAAACTCATCTCAAAATCAGTATCAAACAAACTACAACCTCAGGCTAAATGAAGGGGAATGCTATCTTGTCCACTTTGGTCCCCAACACATACCTGTCAGATCACGTCTACATTTCTAATGACAAATCGATACCCCACGCCATATTATAAAGAAACAACATAGAGATTATGGGGAATATTACCGAGAAGTCGAGGCACGCAAATTCACACTAAACTGGGAGAGTCAGTACAAAGAGTGTCTATTCCGCCTGTCAGGACAAGTTGGAGAAGACAGAAAGGGTTGAAGAATAGCGTGCATTTGGGAGATAAACTCAGTGTCCTCGAGGCTCACTGCAAAAAATTTACTGTCTAAAGATCATGATTAAAAAAGTAAGAAAGCCTTAAAATGCGCTTCCATTCAAACTAGCCATGAAACGAAGGGGCTAATTTTTATAATAGGTTTGCTGACTTAATATAGTCTAGGATGAGGTAGAGCAAGAAGCACTTTCGTTCGCCCATATTTTTGATCAAAACTAGTCATAAACAGTTCTTGCAAGCCTGCATTATTCGAAACTAACATATATAATTAACGGCTGTTTGGGGCTTGTAACATAATTTAATTCGTAATTATTTTGAAGCTATTAATTAGATAAAAAATATTATTCAGGGATCATTTATCGTTAAAAATGATATCGTTGTTTAAAATGATACAAGAGGTATTGGATTATATTCAATTCTACTTGGTTTTTATATAAGCTAGAAAGAAACACCTTTTATGAAAGATAACGTTGAAACTGTTGATTTTTCAATATATTGAATGAATTTGATGTTTTGCTATAAGTGAATAGTTTTAAGCGTATATATGAAAACCAAGATGTGGTTGCCTATATTCTAATCGCAGTCCCCTTTCGAAGCATAGAAGTGGTCTGATCTTGCTTGCGCAACTTGGTCGTTTTGTCAGGGCGACTGAGTTATAAGCCTACTGGCACACCTTTTATTTCGTTTGAGAAGGTAGGTGGAAGAGATTCGTAAATTGTCCAGACCGGATACAGGAGGGTTGCACTGGACTTGTGTCTGTTGAATTGTGCGAAGAAGACCTCGGCTCACTGTCTTACGACCCCGATGATTCCGTACTGAGCTTTCGTCCGTCATGCTACTGATATCGTCAGAGCCAAAAACCATTAATAACGAGCAATCAACAAAAAACCTAAACCAATAAAGGTGTCAAGCTGAGGGCCTAATTACTTCTTATACTTCCCTGTTCATTAATGAGGCATTCCATGATTTGCTTCGTTGTTTTATGCCTGTCATAAATACACGTAAGCATGTCAAAGTGATGCAGGAAGGGGAGCTGATGTGATCACAACTGAGAGGCAATATAACGTGTGAGAAAAAATCGGCTAGTCTTCTTGACTTGGCATTAAAATGAAAATTTTGTAGAACAAAGAGTCAATGGAATGACAGAAGAAAATCCATCCCGTCTTCATTATAAATTAAGGAGGACGTATCGCGGACCCTGTCAAACTGAAACTAATATCTTACGGCTGGAGAGCGAAATAAGGCCGCGATAGTCTTTTGGTCACATCGACCTAGGCGAATGTCTTCGCATGAATTTCATCAAAATAATGTTCACTTATTGAAACGGAAATATACATCGATAGGAAAAATGCAAATACTACAAGCATAAATATAGCACTAATCAAAGGTATAAAACCAAGATGGTGTGATCGTTTCTATGATATCAGCCTTATTTTGTTAAAGAGAAGTGGTATGATCGATACTTCGTAACTTAATCGCATTAGGTGATTTAACCTATTCCGGAATCTTCCGCCATTCTAGTTATGATAAATTAAGCGTTAGATAATGAGCGCCATTACCCAGTCTCAGAAGAAAGTCAAGAAATTTAAACACTCCATTGAGACAAGACCTGAATAAATCCAGACCAACTGCCTCCACACCGGAGGTTTCGCCAGCGGCATCAGTTAGCCCTGTAATTTTTAAGTCCAAACTATAACTTGTCAAATAGACAAATGGAGTCCATCCCTAACCACTTTTCTTGTCTTTTTGATGAGATGTAGATTGGTTTTAAAAATGGGCGTCTACGATGCCGACTGAACATCTGGGAATGCTACAAGTGGAAAGTATCAAGGATACTATAAATTCCGGACAAGGTGTGCTCATTAAGGTCTTTCTGACAATATAGCCAAGTTGCGTAAATTAGGTCAAACCCCTTCTATATAGCACCAAATTTCATCACCAGGACCAAGTTTGTCTGTGGCATCTCGATTATCTGGTCTCTTAGATTGGCTGCACTAATAAAACAATGTAGGCTTGTCTGAGTCAGTTTACTACAACAAAAATTCAAGGACATGGCTTGAATCCTCAGAGGCAGAAATTCATCAGGGTTCCCTCACTGCATAGCTACATTTGAAGCGGCATCGGCATTTTTAACAGATAAATATGGCACTTTTAATAAGATATAAAGAAAAACTGGCTTTTGAAGAATTCCTTAGTAATATTTTATGACAGGACTTTCTATTTCGAAGGAAAAGTTAGGTGGAAGGAATTCGTGATGTGGCTTACCAGAAACCGAAGGAGGATTGACGCATAGGAAAGATAGTTGTATTGTGCGAAGATTTCCTCGGCTCACCGTTCTGCTACCCCGATGAACTTGTGCCAAGCTTTGGTCTGTATTGTGACATACATCCTCAGGGCAACAAAAAAGACCTCACGAAATAAAGCAACAATGTACTAACCCAAGAGAAAACGGACCGGCTGCAACCCTAGTCGCCTATTCATACACCTAACATAGCGATCTTAATGAGGCATCCCATGGCTTGGTTGCCTCCCTCAAACTTACTTTACATGTTTGCAAATGAGCAAAGTTACTTCACGAGGTGTGGTATTCCTAGCTAGATTCGAGGGTAATCCAGCCTCCATTTGTTCAATGGCCCTTCCTTCCCATGACATGAGCAGGATACACATAATAGACAATAGCACAAATCCAAAAATGATTAAACATTAGAAGAGCCTACAATAGTATATTTGTGCAAGGAAACAGCTGCCAACGAAAGCACTTTCGGTTCATGAAGTAACTTCACTCCTTTGCAAGGATGTAGAGTAAGGTTGAACAAGCCAACCAAATAATAGGATGTTTCATTAAGTTCGCAAAGTTGAGTGTATTAAAAAGGAAATAATCTTGCAGCCGGCCACCTTTTTTATTGGTTTAGTAGACTTTTGTTATATTTCGTAAAGTATGGATTTCTATTCGGCAGATGAAAGCTCAGCAATGGTTGGTCGGGGTCGTAGGACGATGAGTAGAAGACTTTTTCGCACAATACAACAGTCTTCCATACGTGACAATCGTCCTTCGTCTTCCGTTGAGACCACATCGCGAATTCCTTCCAACCAACTTTTCCTTCGAAATGGAAAGTCATGCCGCAAAAATGACACAAACTGAGAATAAGAAATTGTTAATTCTAGTCAATCTGTTGTCAAGTGCAAGACAAGAGAAGCCATCGGAATTAATAGCTTAAAATATTTTATGTAAGGAATTAAGGTAGAAAGTTGACTAAGAACTCTTTACACTTTTAGAAGTTAGTTGACCTCGTTTGAGCAACTTTGTCTTGTTGTCATAGGAATTACTATAACGCATCTTGTCCGAGGTCCTCTGCCATAATAGTTATCATAATTCCCAACATCAGACCATGGTCTTGGTGCAATCTCGGACATTTCGAAGCATGGTAGTCGGCGTCATCAGTGAGCGTTGCCGTTCATCGCACCAAGACATTTCTTGGTGCTGGGAATTATGATAACTACTATGACAAAGGACCTTGAACAAGGTGCATTATATTAAGTCGCCCTGAAAACAAGAACAAGTTGCGAAAATGAGGTCAACCAACTTCTATAACTTGCAAGGAGATGGCGACCAAACCGAGGGCTACACCATGTTGGTCTTCATATCTTCACTTATACTTGATTGATAGACTTAATAAGAAGCTCAACTAGTAAGCACGAGATCGTTCTAACTAAATCCGCATTTTTCAACGTAAGCATAAAGTCAAATCATTCTATATATAATTTTTCATCGTTATTTGTAAGTATACCTAGCATTTAATATAGAGCAGGATGGTCTTCTTGGATAAAATTTAGCCATAAGAGCATGCGAGAATGCGCAACTGCTCTGACGAACTAAAGCTCAGTCTAATTCCAACCAAACCGGAGGATGTCTCATTGACTGTGCCAACTGTAGTATTAAAAGCAAGCGACTGCTGCACAATGTGAAGCATGCACCGTCTTGTGGTGAGATCGACTCATTAAACTTTTCATCCTGCACCTCCACTCAAAATGGAAGTCATAACAACAATGCTATCTCAGAAGATTAATATAAAGTAAGCAGGCCTGGTCAAGTGATTCACATGCCTATTAGTTCCGTGAAAAAAATAGCATAGGTTTCCACAGCTTACCTTCCTTACGATCCAGAGTGCCCGAAGTGGAAGGAGATCTGCTCGTGACCTCAAGTTCGCCCTCATCTTCATCTTCGTCATCATCGCCTCCAACGCCGATATCGTCATCGTCATCCACTACTTCATCCTCGTCCCCATTCACATCTTCTTCCTGCCCCTCCCTAGTTTCCACACCATCGTCCTCTTCATAGCCGTTGTAGTCTGTCGCTGACTTTTGGCTATTAGCTGCTGTTTTTCGCCTTAGTTTACCCTCGTCATATTCGGAGTCATTGCGCTGGCGTCGCAACCGCCTGGACCTGCCGACAGCATTTCGAAGTGATTTCTCATTTTCTGAAGTTGTCGTGGAGCCCGTCAACAATTCAGCGTCATCCTCTTCGTCTACATCGTCCCCATTTCCGTTTCGAAAACGGTGACCGCCAGACGCTTTGAACATTTTAGCCACTTGACTGGCCAAGAGATTTGCTTTACTGCGTCGCTCCGCCTCTTCAGCCCTCTGGCTCGAACCAGGTACCAAAACAAATTCGTCCTCGCCTTCAAGACCGCCACTACTTCGCTGCGCCGCAGCACTGTTGACCAGGGTCGAGTAGCCGCTGGTAGCAAGAGCAGCGCCAGACAGAGGTCGGGAGTCGGGAGCAGAGACAGCTCCGGTACCATCACTTCCACCAGCAGATGTGGCCGTGACCATAGCAGAAGTTTGGTAACGATGCGGATGACCAGCCAAACTGGCGGCTTGACTATACGCCCGTTTCATTCCAGAAAGCCCAGAAGGTCCAGACGAAAAAGTGTGCGACGGCGTCCGACCGGAGGCCGCAGTGCCAGCCCCACCAGCGGATGTAGAAGGATCACGACGTCCAGAGATCGGGCCAAGTGTCCGCCATCCGGCGGGCATACCGTCGATACTAGGCCCACCGGCAAGTAAGTGACGACGGTCCATCGACTTCGAACGCAGCGTCATAGAGGCTGAGGTCAAGCGCTTGCTGACCATCGAATAAGTGGCTCCCGTGAGAGCGGTCGGATTGGCGCGGCGTGCTGCCGATGGCCTTCATATGTAGGACAAGAATGGGATAATAAAAAAGCGCAGTTAATTAGCAACTGAAAGACAAATGTTTATTAAAGTTGGTTTTAAGTAGGCTTGCAATTCAGGGTAAGGTGGCGTTGAGCAAAACTCGGGCATAAACAACACGTCCAGAATGGCATTGCCAGGCCTGAAGAGATGTTGTCCAAGCTAAGCAACCTGCTACTAAGGTCCCTAATAAGTGAATTGGCTGGAAAAAAGCTTAACTACGAAATTTAGTAAGTCTAGGTCGCCTAAGCTGATGTATAAACTGATGGTGGTATTTGTCATAATAAAAATGAGTTTCAAGAAATTTGCCTTATTGTTGTGGAGACTTTCATTTCTTATGAAAGTGCATGATGAAGAGATTTGTGGTTCGATCTCACCAAAAGACGACGACTTATTTGCGTTGTACTGCAGCCGTTTGGCTCCGATATAAGGTTCAAGTTGACCCAGTCCACGAGACATCCTTCCACGTTCTGGGCGAAGAGGAGCTGAGCATTCATTAGTCATATGACGAACATCATCAAAGCTGAGACCCATTATTGCAAAAGTATTAAGCTAACACTAAGTCAAGAAGACTGACATGCTATATATATACTCAGAACGAAAGAATATGTAGATATAGATGGATATATAATGGTTTAGTTAATTCCCTTATACTCGAGTGTGCGTGTATATGTATGCGTATGCGTGTGTGTGAGTGTTAAAGTTTGTACGCAATACCGGCCATAACTTAGAAGAAAGTCTAGCGCCTGCCCCGGCTCATCAAGAGTTAATGACCCATGGAAAAAGCATAAATGAGATTACGTAAGACCGTAATTAATTCTGGTTGAGTAGATGAAATGTAAGCCCGTAAGCATAAGTCAAGTTAAGAAACCCTCCATCATAACCCGTTAATCTGGAGTCATTAAAGTTTAGTGACACAGGCAAAGGAATGACTGGGATGGCGTAATCTCGTACTATTAGAGTCTCGAAACTCTACTCAACCACGAAAAGTAATCTCGTACGTCTGTTTTAGTTGATGATGAATTAAAACTATCATTCAGCTGATAAGTCAAGTCGCGCATAGCGAATTAACAGTCTTTTTCTGTGTTAATCATTCAATCAAGAATAAGTCATTCTTAGTCAACTTCCCATCAACATTCATATCCATTCAGATTCAACGCACTCCCTATCTATTAATTGCATCAGCCTCTTTTATCTTGCGTTTCGTAATAGACATACAATACTCAGCAAAACTCTGCGTTTGAAACTATTCTATCTCATGTGCAACCTCCGCCCTGTGTTCAGCCACTTCACTTAGCCTTGTGTACCAAAAACTTCTCATATTCCAACCAGATTGCAGTTTCAACCTCGGTAGGGGCTTATCAACACTGCAAACGGGATAATAAATCGGATCATCTGCGTTATTAGAGCCAAGTTACCACCACACCACACAGCCAAAGGTATCAGTTTGTCGCAAAGCGGTCATTCTTCACGTTATGCGACCTTGGGTGACTGAGAGTTTCGAAACCCAATTTATACGAATATAAATGGCATAGGAGATTCTAATGAAATATATAAATTCGTCTCATCAAAAATCCCACTATATAAATGTAATATGAAAAAAACTGGCCTTCCTTGAAATTTGTCTTTCCTATGTGAAAGAGAGGCACTCATAACTGTGTGGCATAGTTGTAACCTGTCGAAATTCTACGCTGCAACACCAAAGCTCTGGTTCGAGTCCTGCTGGATAGGCTTCAAACCAAAGCCAAAGCCGCAGTCGACCCCGGATGAGAATACGCTTTGGGAAGTAAGACTATGTGAAATTCAGTGGGGACGTGAGGCCTACTCATATGCTTGTGGAAAATTCAACTATCAGTCCTTCATCTCGCTAAGGGACCTAGGGTGGCTGGAATTCTTATACAAATTTCAAGGCAATCAAGACCATTCCCAATAAGCTTTTAGATAAAGCAATCTTTTGATTCTGGCGTACCTCTCATTCCGTTTGAGAAGGCAGGTCGAAGGGATTGGTAGCTAGTCCCCACCAGATACCGCAAGAGGATTGCCTTGGGGCTTTGTCTGTTGAATTGTGCGAAGAAGAACTCGGCTCACTGTCTTACGACCCCGATGGCTCCGTATTGAGCTTTCGTCCGTCCTGTGGCGGACATCGGCAGAGCCAAAAACCATTATCCACGAAATATAAAAAAAACGCTAAATATAGAAAGGTGGTCAGCTGAGATCCTACTTACTTCATATACCTTACTTTGCGATCTTAATGAGGCATTCCATGATTTGGTTGGTTGACTTATGCTTGTTCTACATGCATGTAAGTGGGTCAAAGCGATGCAGGCAGGGGAACGGATGTGGTCACAATTTTTGTCAATCTAAATAAACTAGAGTATGATCAGTAGTCTTGGGTCTTGTTACAGCTTCGAAGATGCGTGTTTGCGTGTGGATGCGTGTGTATTCAACAACCCCTTATTATATTCGTATTAGAGTAGGGTTTCGAGACATCTCATAACCCCTTATTAGTTGCAAATTTTAGGCTCAAAAACAAGCTCCAGCTTGGTCTAGTCTTCTCATCTTACTTAGTGGGACTTCCTGTTCCCTTTCCTTCTCTCTCTCTCTCTCTCTTATTCTATTTAGAAGCCAGATATAGTTCTTACTTAGACTCCTACATGCATTCCTCTTATTCAGGATGTTCTTTGTTTAGTTGCAAAGGTATCACAAATTGAGGTACAAGAAATAAGTAGGCTCTCAGCTGGCCATCTTTCTTGGTTAAGGCTTTTCATGAATAATGGTTTATGGCTCTAACGATGTCCGTCATAGGACGGACGAAATCACAGTACGGAGTCATCGGGGTCGTAAGACGGTGAGCAGATGTCTTCTTCGCACGATTCATTAGACAAAAGTCCAAGGCAACCCTCCTGCGGTATCCGGTGAGGCTAATCTACGAATCCCTTCGACCCGCATTTTCAAAAGAAATGAAAGGTACGCCAATATCAATCTATTAAAGGATTCTTGGAAGCCCAGCTTATCTTCATTTCTCAACAACAATCTTTTGTTTGCCATCAAGATCGACAATGTCACTTATATTTGAGGTGAGCCCATTTAAATAATATCAATAAAGCTTGAATAATAATTAAAGTCATTCTAAGTCTTGAAAGGCGAAGTAAGGACTGCTGAAGGAATATCACACTAAAAGTTTCCAACTTGATTTTGAAGTCCGCTGGGCATGCTGAAGAGACTTAGATGAGGCCGAGACAATTAATTGAGATTGAGACAATTAAGACAATTAATTAATTAAGATAGGTTTAAGCGAAATTCAATGAAACTCATTTAATCGAAGGTATGAAGACCAAGAT